AAAACATTTCCCATATAGGAAATGTGGCTTAGATAAATTATATCTACAGGTCATTTTTTAAGTCTTAGACGTTTTTTAAGACTATAAATCTTCACGGGAGCCAACAGCCTCCTGTTTCTCCCACAGAGCAACTGGGGGGTTTGCGGCCTAACACCTAACCCACAGAGTCAGCAGGTGCTTAAATGGCTTGCTTGCAAGGGAACCCATGAAATAAACCCAGATAAAAGAGTTTGCAGAGATAAACTATTGCAGCTCTGCTATTCTGAAAATCATCAGTATGGCTAAGACTGAAAAAAAAAAAAAAAAAAAAAAGTCCTCATTAACCAGCCTGGATCATTTCTGAAACTCTGAATGTGTAATGAAGACTACAGAACACAGTCTACATTGTGACTGGTATGAGCAGAAGCAGCGGCAGATTCAATATTTCTGGCCACATTCTGGAAATATTCTTATGCTTAGTTACAGCAACAACCACTTCAGCAAGGAGCAGACAGTTAATCATTTTAAATAATGCTGGCTCCAGGTGATTATTATTCCTGACAGACTGGGTTTCTGGCTCACATGCTTTTGCTGATGCAGCTGCTCAAAGGCTTTCTGATTTATAGACTGAAGTTAAAATCACCAAAGAGTTTTAGAAGCACTACAACAGCCAAATGTATCTATCTTTCTGTTACCATCTCAGAACACTGCCTTTCATTTTTTTGTCCTCATGCATGAGTGGCTAGGATCTAGGTATGGACAAACCGAAGAAAAAAAATCACCTAACATAAAGCATCACAAAATAATAGGAGCTATTCTAAAGTCATGAAGGAAAGGAAAACAGAATTAACATGCAACTAAAAACTCTGGTTTTTATAGTCACTTTCAGAATAATGAGTGAAGAAGACCAGGCAGAAACACTGACTTTTTTGGTGTTTCTATTTGCTCTTGCTGCCATTAACTATGTCCTACGTACCAGCATCTGTACACGTGCAGATAAACGAAACAGACAGTGTTTGCTATCGGCAGTCTATCTCCCAGAAGCGTGTTTCTAATGGAAGCAGCCACTCACCGATGGGCTAAGATTTTGTTTTGGTTTAAAATCATTCGTCGAAGACATTACTACAAGCGAATAACAGTATCTTTGAAATTCTTCCATAAGGGATTTTTTTTTTTAAGTGGCAGTTACATTTGTGTACTGGCAATACTGAACCAGGGTTCTTTCATTATTAATATTTTAAATTAAAATAAGTGGCCTTCAGAATATAAACAATTCGTTAAAACATCTCTCCTTTTTAGGGATCACTATTTCTAAGGCCCCAGCGCAGTGCTACAATAAAGCTTCGTTCTTCATGCTCAACATACAAGTTTGTCCAGTGTAGCTCTCATGGAGCTAAACAAATACAATTCAGGCATGTCCCTAGTTATGTGGAGACATTTCCTCATAGGGAAATGTGGCTTAGATAAATTATATCCACAGGTCATTTTTGTCAGTCCTATTTTATGCTCCCTTTCACCAAATCTTTTGCTAAAATATGATTGAAACAAAGCAAAATGGCTTTAAGTGTCACCTCCTCCCTGCACTCAGCCTTTTCCTTGAAGAGTGACGGGTGGAAGGAAACAGGATGTAAAAAGCAACAAAGGGGAGCAGCAGCGAGACTCCTAAGTGAACACAAAGAATCAGTATTTGGCTCTTTGACTAATCTACAGTTTGACAGATTAGAGAATCAAGTCTGCAATTTTCAGCTGTAAAAACCTGGTCTATGACAATAAGAGGTGGCAGGGAAGAATTGAAGTTCTGGAAAATTCTCTCCACTTCTTCCCACACATATTTAAAAAAAATTAATAGCATGCAAAAAAGGTTTCTGCTCATAGATTTGACCCCTCTCCCCTCAAAAATCCTATCTATGTTCCATTAAAGCAGTGGTGTGCCATCATGCTGGTTCCTACCCACAGGGACCTCATGTGTCAGAGTAGAAGTGCCCCATAGGGTTTTCTGGGCTGTAATCCTTAGAGAAGCAGGTTGTCAGATCTTTCTCCTGCAGAGTTTCTGAGTGGGTTTGGACTGCCAGCCTTTCAGTTCACAGCCAAACATTTAACCATTGCACCACCAGGGCTCCTTCCATCAAGGTTACAGACGACTGAAGGCTAGTGGCAAAGCAAAATACTAATCAACAGCTAATCGTATGCTAAAGAACAGCAAATTCTTTGAAGTTATTCTTGAAAAAGCTCCTGCTGCTTAATAAAGGGGATTTTTAAAAAGCAGGAGGAGGAGAAAGAACAGTACAGTGGAAAAGCCCTCTTATTAAGGAACAAGAGCCAACTCGAGTTTAAAACTGAATCCATGCACAGTGTTTTAGATGGAAACAAATATTCTGATCTGTTCTAAATTGCATGGCATCCCTGGATAGAAACGATAGGTCAAGGCCAAGTAATATTGGAGATCATACACAAACCAGCTGCACTCAGGACAATCACTCTATACCTGCCCACAGAATTCAATTAGCTCATGTCTACTGCACTAAAAATTGCTTTCAAGGATTGTGTTTCTTTTTGGCCAACCATTCACAATAAAATATCTGCAGCAATTTGACATTCTTTAACATAATGATATAAAATGCAGCACACATAATGTGCATTCAATTTTATAAAGTACACTTAATCAAAGCCACACATATTTTCTGACCTTTAAGAGCCAAGACACTCAAAACAGTTGTCACAACACTGTGACACACGAGACACCAGTAATCTCTTATCAAACGTAAGCCTGGCTCTGATTATTTTTATATTTGAGGTCAACATAAATAGTTTGTACTGTCAGGAAATTTAAAATCAATTGCCAAGTGGAAACGGTATTCCTGAGTTCACGCCAGAACTAGGTTTCTTAGTCTCTTTGTCCAGTTGTGACCCAGATCTTAACAGCACTCAGCAGTAATGACAATCTTCAGATCAGTTTAAAGACCATCTCTATCTTTGCCAGAACCTTATGTCTACGGAGTTGACTCTGTAAGTAATGATGGTGATCACTTAGGATAAAACGATCAACTATCCAATGATGCTACTATCTTCGGTTTGAGCTTTAAAATATAAAATTAAAAATTAAAAAGCAGCTTCTGGGTTTGTTTCTTTTCCTCAATTATGAAACCAAATGAAAAAGTTCACCTTGTGATGTCCAAATTCATTCAAGATGGTTCCCAGTTTTCTGGTGTTGCCATGAGGTTTTTGTGCAGCAACAGCTGGATGGGGGTCTCGCCAGTCGATGGACAGGCGGTGATACCACAGGTGCTGACTTTCCAGAATGTGCGGTGATTTAACACTGGGATCAAAGCGATGCACTTCACACCCACTGTTGGCCAGGCTAACTTCGAAATGAGTATCCTCACTTCCTAGCCTGTAAAGAAAGAGTATGAAAATCAGTGATAAAACCCAAAAATATCAAATCAATTCAAGAAGGCAAAGTGTTAGATAGGACAAAATGACAGTTCCTAGGCTATTTATATATATTAAGCCTTCTCCTATTCTAACACATGGCTAATTGTAAATACTCAGTAAAATTTCTTTCACAAAATCTATTACAACAAAAAATTTCTTGGATAAAATAGAAAAAGTATCTGCTAAACACAGATCATCAGAGAGTCACGTGTTTAAACATGGAGAAGCATACAAGATTGATATTTCCCCCCCAAAGATGTAAACCATAGTAGCAATGGAACAAAGAATTCAATAATCTGAAGACATTTTTTCAGAATGAGGGGGTTTCAAAAAGTTCATAGAAAAATTCCATTATCTTTTCATTCCATTTTTCCATGAACTTCTGAAGTCACCTTGTCTATCCACTGGGTTAGTTCCCTTGAGGAGAGCTGTGTTCTACAGATTTGCCTTCATTCTAATGCCCACAGTGTTGTCCATGTCCTTTGACTTAGAAACAATAGCTGTTTTCTTAGAAGTAGAATGTATTTTAAATTAACACAGCTTTTTAAAAAAACAACAAATGTATGTGATACCACTGTTCTGTCCTAAATTCATACCAACATTCACACCAACAAGGGGAAGAAATTATGAATTAATTTGTACTTAAGCCACTCCAAGGGAGAAAGATGAGGCTTTCTGTTCCTGTCAAGATTTATAGCCTTGGAAACTCTATGCTGTTGTTAACATAGGGTTATAGCGACCCTTTATAGGGTTTCTGAGGAGTAGCTAGTGAGTTTGAACCACTGACCTTGAAGTTCAAACTGATCTTTCAGTCCAGTGCTTATCCTACAGTGCCACACCAGGACTCCTGGAAACCCTATAGGGTCACGATGAGTTGGCATTGATTCAATTGCAGTGGGTTTGGTTTGGTGTTGGTTTTAAGTTTCCAGTAGGTAGCACATTATGTGGAGAACCCATGTACTTACAAATTTCAGATTTACTCAGAAATATTCCTTATTTAATAGCATAAGGCATATCACTTAAATTAAAGTGCCAATTGGAATGAAAACAAGAATATGAAATTAACAGAGAGGAAAATTGATCTTAAATTGTGATTGACCTTATGGTTTCTATGCCCCAAATATTATACATCGATGTGATTTAGGATATCAAAACCACACAGAGCATATTGTTCAATCCAATACAGAAACACTTCATTCTCTTAGAATCTACTATTTCAGACGTTGAAAAAATGTAAGTTCAATATAACAATTCTTCCATGTTTTGACACAGAGACAACAACAATGGGTTCAAACAGCAGTGATTGTCAGACTAGAACGGGACCAGGCAGTGATTCATTCTGTTGTACAAAGGGTCGCTATGAGTCAGAACCAACTTGACAGCACCTAAGAGCAACACCATTGTATTTCATGATACATTAAATAACATGAAACAATAGCAAATTGCAAATTTTTTTGCTCAATTTATTTTTTACTAAGTTGTTGTTAAGTGCCATCAAGTCGGTTCCAACCCATAGCAACCCTGTATAGGGTTTCCGAGAAGCAGCTGGTGAGCTTGAACCACTGACCTTGCGGTTCAAATCGACTTTTCAGTCCAGTACATTATCCCACAGCGCCATACAGTAGGATCCTTTTAATCTTAATACATAATATGTACTGATGCAGTTAAGCACTCAACTACTAGCTGAAACATTGACAGTTCAAATTCACCCCAAAGCCACTCAGAAGACAGCCTGTCAATCAACTTCCAAAAGGTCACACAGCCTTGAAAACCCTATGGAGCTGTTCTACTTTGTACACCTGTGGTCACGATGAGTCAAAATCAACTATAGCAACAGCAACACTGGAAATGGGTAAATTGCATTAATCAGCACTCCCTTTATTCAAAATGGGACTTCTTCAAGCTTAGCTTAAATCAGCCAGGAAATGTAATAATGGTACATGTTGCAAAACCAATTCTTTACTAAAGTAAGAGTTTGATAATCTATATATGCAAAACACTGCTTTACCTAGGCTCTAAAGGTATTCTTGGTGTGGCAGTGTGGGTTAATGCACCAGACTGCAAAGCCGTTTGAACTGCAAGGTTGGCAGTTCAAGCTCACCAGCTACTTCTCGGCAACCCTATACAGGGCCGCTATGGGTCGGAATCAACTCCTTGGCGCTTAACAACAACAAAAGTATTCCTATCTCTGAAGCTCTCATGAGATATTAGGGGAAAAAGGAAATAAAAAACTACTACAACACTGAGTTTGGTGTTCTCGGAGTCCTGGTGGGTTAATGCGTCAGATTGCAAAGTCATTTGAACTGCAAGGTTGGCGGTTCAAACTCGCCAGCTGCTCCTTGGAAACCCTGTACAGGGTCGTTATGGGTTGGAATTGACTCAACGGCATTTCACAACAACAGCAACAACAACATTCTCCATGGGATTGCAATCAACGAGATGAAACAAAATGTGTATGTAATGGTTAAGGTTTTGTGTCAACTTGACTAGGCCAGGGTTTCCAGAGGTTTTGTGGTTGGGCTGTGCTTATTCCCATGGTGATGAAACCTAATACAGGCATAGCTAACTCTATGATGAGTGACTATAAGCAGCCAATCAGCTGAAGTGATGCTTTCTTGAGGGTGTGGCCTGCTCTCAATATAATGGGCACAAGTGAGGGACTCTCTCTCTTTCACTGGGGACCTGGGACTCTGCAATTGTAAGCTGTTTCCTTGATTATAAACTTTTCTCTCTATATATATATACACATATATGTCTCACTGGTTTTCCTACTCTAGAAAACCCAGCCTAAGACAGTGTATGAATTGTTGAATATAAAACTGATGATTTGCTTGGTAAACCTTCACTTAGTTCACAATAAAAGTTTTTGAAAAAGCCTAAGAGTCTGGAAAAATCCCCAAAGGTGCTACCGTTAGCACTTCTATCCCATAGTTGGTGAGCTAAAATGTCTCTTATTCTAAAAGAGATCAGTTGCCAATGAGTCAGAATCCACTCATGGTGACTCTTTATGTCTCAGAGTAGAACTGGGATCCATGGGGTTTCCAATGGCTGATATTTTTGGTACTGTATTTCTAGACCTTTCTTCCAAAGTACCTCTGGGTAAACATGACCCTCCAACCTTTCAGTTAGCAGTCTAACTACTTGCACAACCCATAGACTCCCATCTTATCCTAACTGGGTCAAACAATTCCTGATTGGTTTGCTGACTCGGGCAAAAGGTAAAACCTTTACTTTCTTTTATTCTTACATTTTTATTGTGAGTTGAATGAAAGTTTACAGGGCATATCATCAGTTTTACATTCAACAAATCATACACCTTGTTTCACTACAATGATTATAATCCCCTCCATGTACCATCAGTTAACAGTATTTCTTTCTATTCATTTTAGCTTTTTTTTTT